TATAAAGGCACCTACGGACAGGGGGTTAGAAAAGTCAACGTGTGGTGGCATTGGAGACTTTCAAGTAGCGAAGGAAAGAAAGGTTCGAAGAAAGGGGTTGTGAAATGAGGGAAAAGGGGAAAAGAAGGAAAGGAAATGAATCGTGTCCATTGAAGGTTTAGTCTCTGCAAATATTCTGAAATGGCTTCAAGTGTTTCTGAATTCAAAATTATGGGAGACCATATTGGAGATAGGGGAGGAGGGGGGAGTAAAGATTGGGGACAGTAAAGGACTGTACCAAAAATGAGGGGGAGGGAAGAGTGTAAGGGGTGGAGATGAAGTTGGGGGGGGGGGGGACGAAGAGGCAGAAACCCGGGAGGTGGCGAAGAGGGGGGAAACTTGGGAGGGGCGGGGGGGAAGGCATGACGGGGAGGAGGGTGAAATTCCACACTTGTAAAAGAGCCAGAGAAGGGGAAAAAATAGGTACAGAGACTGGAAAGGTAAAGTGGGAGTGGAAGAAGGGAAGGAAAGGGGGGAAGAAAATTTGACAAAGTGGATTTTTTGGGCTATGAAAGTGGGGGGGGGGGTATTTGGTGTCTACAAGGGCTTGGCAATCGGGGGGCTTTTGAGAAGGACGCAAGATGTGAGAAAAGAGATTGTAGTTGGGGCTCAAGCCAAGGCAGCAAAAAGGTTAGTGCCGGGGGGGGGCTAGGGAGGTAACAACGAGGACTGCAAAAATGGGGGCCCCCCAAAATGGGGGGGGTGTTGGGAAACACAAGAAAAAAAAAAAGGGGGGGCCCCCAAAAAGGGGGGGGAAATGTTGGAAAAAAAAAAAAAAATAAAAAAAATGGGGTAAAAGTGGGTTTTGCCTCTTTGGGGCAAGGGATTTCACTTTCTTTTTAATAGACCTGGAAACGGGGGGAGTACGGGGGTGACTTCTTTTAAAATTTAAGGAAAGATGGGGGTTTTGACTGCAAAAATGTTTTTAAAAAGGTCGGGGAACCACAGACGGGGGATTGGGCCATAACCCTTGCAAATTTCGCGGGGTTGAAAAAAAGGGCCAAAGCAATTTTTTACTTTGTTTGTGGTGTGGGGGTTATCCCCCTTTCGAATTTGAAAACCAAATTTTCCCTGACATATACAGAGGGGGGGGTTCTCGTGTTAAAAAATTTTAAACAAGCCACTTTGCAAGGGTAACGTCCCCCCCCCCCGGGGCAAAAGGGACATAAGTGCCCCAATTTTTGGGGGTTTGGGGAGATCCGGATTTCCAGCTTTCAAAAATGCCCATTGCCACATGACGGGAAATTTCTTTTTGTACTATGGTATGGGGCAGAATGACGGGTTCCACAAAAAGGGATTGAGAGAAAATTTTTTCAAAGTGATAGGAGTAATAACGATATTTGAAAGGGGGAAAAAAGATTTATAGCTTGGGGACAAATTTTTGGGCAGTGATATGTCGTACCGCTCTTGGGGAGCATGAAATGAAATAACCTACCCAAAATGAACAGGGGGCCCCTTTTCCAAAACATGGTCAGAAAGGAGGCAAAGAAAAAAGGGCGGGGTTTTTAAAGTTTAAAAAATTTATTCCCCTTTTGGTTGGGGCCGGGAAAAAGGAGCGGGAAAAGGGATGCTTGACGTTCGGGCCCTTTTCCGGGGTAAATTTTGGGGAAGGGTAACAAAGGGGGCATCATCAGGGGATTGACGTTGGGGAATTTTTGGGGTAGGACCGGAGTTTTTTGCCCTTTAAATTTGGGGGGGGGCGATTTAAAAAATTTCCGTACCGTAGAGGGGAAGGGCCGGGAAACATAATCCCCAAAAGGGGAACGGGTTTTAGACAAATCGAAGGGGCATCGAAGCCCCCGGTAAACCGAAGCGGGTTAAAGGAAAAACAACCAGCAAGAGGGACAGGGGGGACAGGAGTGTCCGAAGAGTGGGCCCAAACACAAGGCAGGGTCAGAATGGGGGGCGGTAAACAAAAAAGGGGCCCAGGGGGAGTGGGGTTTAGGGATTGGGGGTTTTCCATGGTTAGGTTTCTTTTCCCTTTTCTTTTTTTTTTTAAGAAAAAAAAGAAAAAAAAAAAAATAAAAAAAAAAAAAAAATAAAAAAAAGGGGGGGGCGGAGGAAAAGTTCCCCGGAGGGAAAGAAAAAAGGGGGGAAAACTCCCTCCCGCCCCAAAAAAGGACCCCCACACTGCTAGTAGCGCAGTGACAATGGAAACCCTTTCCATAAACCCCAACCCTTCATGCCCGTAAACCACAAACCAGGGTAGCAACCTCACATTCTGCCGAGCTAAACCCCGGTGGACAAAAAGAGGGGGGGGCCGATATCACCACAAAGCATACCCCCTTCCCGCCCCCCAAACCCCCCGGGAAAAAGAAAGGGGCTTCCAGAGATACACAAAGTCGCCCGAAAAACCCCCAAAGGGTACTCCGGATAAACCCGAGAGCGATCGGGGGCAAACCCCCAAGGCAATCGAGAATTTCCACGGCAAACTACGCCACCGCCAAGAACCTCAACAGAATGGGATGGACCCCGGTGTCCTTTCCCCTACCTAGGAACTAGCGCGTCTGTGGGAGAAATCCCAAAGGCCAAAAAGAGGAAGGGCAAAAGGGAGGGGTGGGGAGGAGGAGGAGGAATGGAAAAAGGGGAGGATGGGATAGGGGAGGGGAGAATGGGGGGTAATTAGGTTCGGTCTGAGGAAGAAGACTGACAGGGCTAATTCCTCAGACCAAGAGCCTCTTCACCACGCCAAGGAGCCCCCCTTGAAGAGGCCTCAGTTACACAACCCAGGGCAACATGGGTTTAGAGCAGGTCGCTCTTGTCTGTCCCAACTACTGGATCACTACGACAAGGTCCTAGATGCACTAGGACCTTGTCGCAGATGTAATATACACAGACTTTGCATAAGCCATCGACAAGTGTGACTATGGCGTAATAGCGCACAAAATGCGTGCTAAAGGAATAATAGGAAAAATTGGTAGATGGATCTATAATTTCCTCACAAACAGAACACAAAGTGTAGAAGTCAACAGAGTAAAGTCTGAGGCAGCTACGGTGAAAAGCTCTGTTCCGCAAGGCACAGGACTCGCTCCCATCTTGTTTCTCATCCTCATATCTGACATAGACAAGGATGTCAGCCACAGCACCATGTCTTCCTTTGCAGATGACATTCGAATCTGCATGATAGTGTCTTCCATTGCAGACACTGCAAGGCTCCAGGCGAACATCAACCAAATCTTTCAGTGTGCAGTCAGCAGTAACAGCCTGGTTGATCAGGCCCTGATCCACCATGAAGCCTGGTCACAGACCAGGCCGCAGGGGCATTGAGCTCCAGAACTCTCTCCAGGTAAACTCCAGTTAAACTGTACTAACTGTTTGACGGGCCAAACCAAGCTTATGTGCTATCTCAGCCATCGACATACCTTGTTAGTAAGTTTATTCAAGTATACACAAATACAGTTACATAAATTAATTATCAAATATAGCAGCATACGTGTAGAGACCCCAGGATACCCCAAAAAAGTCATATCACTAAGTTCAATCATTTCTAACTTGGTACTTAAAGTAAGAGGCTTATGACTAAGCTTAGATGCCATCGTCAATGAGAGCCAACTAGTTAACGAAATAGTAAATGAGAGAGAATGAGATACACGGAGTTCAATGTAAAAACACAAACTGAACGAGTGGTGGGTGATCACTCGGTCAGGCAAAATAATGTGTATTAATACGTGTCCAATTTTAGTTCATTCATGTATGTTTGTAAGAGTTTGTGAAACTTTTACCTCACAATATTTTTTTTTATTATAATTACCTCACAATACAAATACTCATACATTGTGTACAAGTTTTTATTTATTTATTTTTTATTTGGACATGATACATAGGTGTACAAAGAAATATAGTGATCGGGTGTACATGCCAAAAGCCCCTTGTATGCAGAACATTATGGGCAGGCTTAAAATTAACTTAAGATTAACTAATCAATGATATATTCATTAGTAAAAATTACAGTAAACAAATTACAACATGAAGTACAAATGAGTATTTCAAATAAAAAACATTAAAGTTGTACAAATTTGTAGCATAACAATGTTAGTACAGAAGAATAAATGAAGAGCAACACTCCCATTCTCATGTAACGCCATTTTTAGAATGAATGATATTATTACTAGAATTATAATAAAAAGAACTAAACCCACAAGGGTCATGAATAGCTATAGAGTGAAGGCATAATAAAGGAATATTTTTCTACAGTTATTCCCAGGTAACTGGTGTTGGACTAGAGAAAACGTAATTGACTGGTTCAGCGAACTGACAAGTTCATAAATTAGACATATGTGGAACACTTGGGTATCTTTAATGAGGAAACGTATTACCAGACAGTGGCTTCATCAGTCCGTACAAAGGAGAATGGTGAAGAACAGGAGGAGTTTGAGGTAATCAGTCCCTCAGCCTTGAGTCGATGTGGTCAATCCATCAATCTTGAAAAGAATACAGCATAAGTGCAAAGAAGTGGCTTATACAGTGGACCCCCGCATAACGATGGCATCACATAGCGATTATTTCGCATACCGCTTACTTTAATTGCAAAAATTTTGCCTCACATACCGCTTAAAAACCCGCTTACCGATTTTCGTCCGAGACGCGTCCAATGTGCGGCCTGAGCCACGCTCACATGTTCCGTCGGTGGCATTGTTTACCAGCCAGCCTCCGCGGTAACATCCAAGCATACAATCGGAATATTTCGTATTATTACAGTGTTTTCGGTGCTTTTTCTGGAAAATAAGTGACCATGGGCCCCAAGAAAGCTTCTAGTGCCAACCCTACAGCAATAAGGGTGAGAATTACAATAGAGATGAAGAAAAAGATCATTGATAAGTATGAAAGTGGAGTGCATGTCTCCGAGCTGGCCAGGTTGTATAATAAACCCCAATCAACCATCGCTACTATTGGTGGTACAGCTGCTGCTGCTGCTGCACTGTCAGCTGCTCGCTGTGTAGCACCGTTGTTGGTGTGGCTTATTGAGAATACCAAGAAACAATTAACCCCAGAGGATTTGCCACCCAGGATAACCCAAAAAAGTCAGTGTCATCGAAGACTGTCTAACTTATTTCCATTGGGGTCCTTAATCTTGTCTCCCAGGATGCAACCCACACAAGTCGACTAACACCCAGGTGAACAGGGAAAAATGCCTGGAACTAGTGCTCATATTGGTGAATTTAAAGCCAGCAAAGGTTGGTTTGAGAGATTTAAGAATCGTAGTGGCATACACAGTGTGATAAGGCCTGTTCTGGAAGAAAATGCCAAACAGGACCTACAGTACTCAGGAGGAAAAGGCACTCCCAGGACACAGTGTCTCATCAGTCATTGCTGCATCTTCAATAAAGGTAAGTGTCATTTATTCTTCATTTAGTAGACTAGTACATGCACAATATATACTGTGCATGTACTACTCTACTATTGTGCATGTATCCTTCTCTTTGTGTGTGGGAAAATGTATATTTCATGTGGTAAAAATTTTTTTTTCATACTTTTGGGTGTCTTGCATGGATTAATTTGATTTCCATTATTTCTTATGGGGAAAATTCATTCACATAGCGATTATTTCGCATAACAATTACCCCTCTTGCACGGATTAAAATCGTTAACCGGGGGTCCACTGTATACTGTAGACAGGTGAGATGCAGCAGTTGTAGGTGGTATCACACTTGTCCAATGTGGAAGTAGGTCATGTCTAAAGGTTTTGCCTTATGTCATAATAAATCAATTGTAATAGGTAAATAAGCCTTAATGTTGATATTACCATAAGAATAGAACATTTTGTCGGCTTCTCTCTCTTGCTTGTGTCAGCACTTCTACCCAGAAGGTACCTGATTGGCTCTCCCACTCTACATTAGCTGCATAGTATCATATGTTACTTTTTCCTAAATATTTTACAACAGGTCCTCCATCACAAATCCAGCATCATTGGGGCCTGTAGTGTGCCAGATTACAGAGTGGTTAGGTTAGAATAAACTTAATAAAATTAACCAATTTGACATACACAAAGTTCATTGAACATCGGCAAAAATCAAACATTTCTGCTACTTTGAGCTCAATTTCAAGGTACTTTTCGTCATGAAAGCAATGAAAATCATGTCTATTTCTGTAATATATCTTCCATTCTATCAAATGAGACCAAAAAAAACGATAATACAACCATAAAAACCATGCGAAAATATACCATGCAGAGGCGGCTAATGGCTGAGAAACGAGTTCCCTTATTTATCGTCCGTCTTTTTATTTTTGTTGTAGGTTAAGAAGCATCTTTCCATCATACACTGGCCAAGTTTCAATAAGACAGCCCAACAAACAACAGAGAAAAATATTTACCAAAAATCATAAATGGCAAGCCCAAGCCAGGTACTGGAAAGTCACTGACTTTTATGGGTTACCCTAGGTTCTCTATACATACACTGCTATGTAAGATAATCTATGTAACTGTATTTGTGTATACCTGACTAAACTTACTTATTAACTTCTAGTCTGTCGATTGAGTACAAGAAACCGCCCATTCACTTACTTTAACCACTCAACATAGTGGTCAGAAATTGGCAATTTGGCCAATTTCACACAAATTTCAAAATAGGGTCCAGAATAAACAATGCAGACATTCCTGGCACTAAGATAACATTTTCTCTGTTCATTAGTCACAGCTACAGGCCCCTCTTACATTACTCTTGCTTACCATTTGGAATTTTTATTCACAAAAATATAGAAGATTTACTGTTATGCAGACTACTGCATTACTGTAATAATTGTATAAATAATGTCAACCCATTCTTGACTCCGTATTGGAATTTGGACTGGCAGGCAGACAGGTATTGAACGGTGACGTCATTTGTTTACTCTTGAGCATCGCTAAAAAATAGAAGATTTTCGCTACTGTGAGCTAAGTTTCAAGGTACTTTTCGTCATGAAAGCAATCAAAATCATATCTATTTCTGTAATATATCTTTCATTCTATCAAATGAGACCGAAAAAACGAGATAACCATAAAAACCATACAAAAATATACCGCTAAGCAGCCACTAATGGCTGAGAAGTGAACTCCGCTATTTATAGTCTGATTTCTTTCATTTTTGGTGTACGTTAAGAAGTATCTTTCCATCATACATTGCCCAAGTTTCAATAAGATAACCCAACAAACAATTGAGAAAATAACAATAATAATAATATCTTTATTTACTGCACGTATACAAATAACCCGCACATAAAAGAGAGAAGCTTACGAAGACATTTCGGTCCGACTTGGACCATTTACAAAGTCACACTAACCAGAAGTGGAGCAGGACAGCTATATATATAGGCAGGAAGAGGTGGTGGTGGTAGTAGTAGTAGTAGTACAAGAATGGTATATAATACCGACAAAATGAAATTATGACACATGCGTTGTAAGCTTCTCTCTTTTATGTGCGGGTTATTTGTGTATCGTTCCAGTCACGGTATTGTGCCTTTTTTTGTTATTTACTACACATACATGTACATGATATACAGTACAGGCCTAGCTGACATCAGTGACATACTACTATATAGAAAGCCACTTGTTATGCAGAGTATTTCAAGCAAATTAGGTCAGTGTCCCAGGATAACACCCAGGTACCCATTTACTGATGGGTGAACATAGACAACAGGTGTAAAGAAACACGCCCAATGTTTCTACCCTGGCTGGGAATTGAATATTTACTGAAAATCATATATGGCTAACCCAAGCCACGTACTAGAAATAAGCCATGTTGTCTGACTTTTTTGAGTTATCCTAGGTTCTCTACACATATGCTGCTATGTTTGATACCTGGAGTTTACCTGGAGAGAGTTCCAGGGGTTAATGCCCCCGTGGCCCGTTCTGTGACCAGGCCTCCTGGTGGATCAGAGCCTGATCAACCAGGCTGTTACTGCTGGCTGCACGCAATCCAACGTACAAGCCACAGCCCGGCTGGTCAGGTACCGACTTTAGGTGCTTGTCCAGTGCCTGCTTGAAGACAGCCAGAGGTCTATTGGTAATCCCCCTTATGTATGCTGGGAGGCAGTTGAACAGTCTCGGGCCCCTGACACACACACACATGTACACACACACGTAAAGCAGTATCGATAAATAGTGCACCCAGGATTTAGTGTTCTAGTGTCTGTCCTAAGATATTATTAGCAGTCATCGTACGTGAGTGAATCAGTGAACATACCTATAAGAGTGCAACAGCTTTCAAGAGTGCAAATAATGTGATAAGATCAAGAATTTTACAATTTAAACTTGAATGAATGCTTAGTAAAGGAGGATATCAATCAGCTGATGAGGCTGCTGGCTGCAGTGTTGGCACGGTGTGATCTGAAATATTAATAAATACAGATATTGGTCAGTTATAGCAGCAATGTAGTGTTAAGGTCATAAACGAGTGATTAAGTAAGTACTGAAAGTAAGAAAAAATTAGTCAATCCCCAGCTGTTGGTGTTGTGAATGTAGCTAATACCATCAGATTTGTTATGGCCATAATACTGTACTAAAGAAAAAAGAATGAACACCAAGTCTTAAAAGAAAAATAAAATAACTTGAATGCATGATAAAGTTCCTGAAGGAGTTACAAAGTGAAGGAATTGATAGCAGCCACCACCAGGAACCTCCACTGTGCAGACATCACTTGTCTATGTGTGGTTAGTTTTTGGTTGGTGTCTACAGTCTCTGTGTCTCGCACTGCAGGTTGTATGCTATACCATCACTCTCTCCCTAACTTTCAGTGCCAGGAGATAGATAGGGGTAACCCTTATAATGTTTAGTAAATTATCTAAATATCTTCAGAAGAGTTGTGTAGCCTTGTGACCCCCCCCCCCACCGTCTTTCTGAAAGCAATAAGCTAGTAAACAAGTACGCACATACAAACACACATGTTCACCAGTAATTATTATTATAGTAAATATTAGTATATATTAATAAGGAATTGAGTGAGAAATAATTCCATAATCTTCAAAAAAGTAACATAGCCTAGTATGCAAAGATCCGGGCCGGGAGATTACCAGTCAACCAAGAACAACAACAATAGTGTGTTAACATGACCCACTCCCCCTCTTTTTCAAAGAATGACAAGCTAGTAAACACACACACACACACAAACACAAGTGTACACAGTAAATATTATAGTAGTATATATTAGTGTATATTAATAAGGAATTGATTGCGAAATAATTCTATAATCTTCAGAAGAGTAGCATAGCCTAATGTGATATATGAACCCCCACCCTCTTTGTTTTTAGACTAAGACAAAAGCGCATGTGTGCACACAGGCGGGGCCAGGAGTTATGACTCGACCCCTGCAACCACAAATAGGTGAGTACACACACACACAAACCTAACCTAACACATTAACTCATAAATCCCCCACCACACACACACACATTTTTTATGATAAGCTGCAGCAGCCAGAACATCCAACAGGATAAAAACAAAATGGGATCTCAAAAGAGAGGACGTAAAGGCAAGAGAACCGATGATTGCTGGTCGGAAAAAGAAGAATGGATAGAATGGCTCAAGAACAAAATGGAACAACAATGGGAGAAAAGGTTAAAGGAGCAAGATGACTGAAATGGGAACATCAGTAGGCAGAGAGGGGACTGAAGGAGGGGATGGAGCTAAGCAGTCTTTTGCAGCAGTAATATCAGGCCATCATGGTGTCTGGGAGATGATTAGGAAAACAGCAAAGGAGATGCTTAAATCAGATCCAGAGACACAGAGGGAAAAGAAATGGGAAGAGGAGAGGGAGAGGTCAATAATTATTCATGGGCCTCAGGAGGCTGAAGGGCAGACCTATGATGAAAGAAAGCATTGGGAGAAAACAGAGATTAAGAACATCATTGCAATAAAAGGAGAGAGGGACATGTCTCAGGTAGAAAAATTTCACAGACTTGGGGGGTATTTGAGGGAAAAAATTGACCAATCAGATTGACATTCAAGACAGATGTGGTACGGAACAGGATACTACAACAGAAACCATAATTAACCCTTTCAGGATTTCTGACATACTAATACGGCTTATGCACCAGGGTTATTGACGTAGAAGTACGCCTAAATTCTAGCACCTTGAAATCTAGTGAGAGAAAGCTGGTAGGCCTACATATGAAAGAATGGGTCTTTGCGGTCAGTGTGCACAGTATAAAAAATCCTGCAGCACAAAGTGCGTAATGAGAAAAAAAAAAAACTTTAACCATGTTTTTGGATTAAAACAGCGACTTTGCACTGTATTTTCTCATAGTATTTATGGGTGTATTCTAGTTTTCCTGGTCTCATTTTATAGAACGGAAGACATATTACATAAATTGAGGTGATTTTGACTGGTTTCACAATGAAAAGTACCTTGAAAATGAGCTCATAATAGCAGAAATGTTCGATTTTTACCAAAGTTCAAAAGAAACAAATCATGCCAAGCGTCCAATACACATCAACTGGCGAGTCTAATATTCTTTTACAAGTGCACTGATATTATTTATACCATTTCTACACTAATGCGGTAGTCTGCATAACAGTAAATCTTCTATTTTTTGTAAGAATAAAAAATCAAAGTGGAAAGCAAAAGAAATATAAGAGGGGCCTGGGGACGTGACTAACAAACAGAGAACTTGTTATTTTAGTGCCAGGAATGTCTTTCTTGTTTATTCTGGACCCTATTTGGAAAATGACATCTGAAATTTGTGTGAAATTGGCAAAATTGCCAATTTCTAACCACTTTATTGGATACTTGAAATTGGTAAATGGGTGGTTTCTTGTACTCATTCAATAGAAAAAATGGAGTTCCAGCGAAATAAATATGATTTCTGTCGACTAGTACACAGGAATTGGCAAAAAATAGGGCTCAAAGCGGGCAAAATCGCCAATGTAAACATCAGCGAGACCACTAACTTCGTGAGAGCATAATTCCGTAAGTTTTCCATCAAATTTCATATTTTTGGTGTCATTACGATCGGGAAAAGATTCTCTATCATTTCATAAGAAAAAATATTTTTTTTCCAGAAAAATTTTCAACCCTGAGAACACGTTTTGGAGAGGGCCTCTCGACCCTGAAAGGGTTAAAGGACTCTCCAGGTTATCAAAAAGTGTTCCTAAATCGAGACAGAACATGAAAGGAAATGGAACTGAAAGTGAGAGCAAGGCAAAACCAGTGGAAGGAAAGAGAGACAGGACAGGCAATGACAGACAGGAAAGCTCAGCCTTTGGGGGAACATCAAACACAAATGCTTACAGAAACCTCTCAATCCCTGTCACCACATATCAGCCAAACACAGTAAACAGAAATGAACCTCACTCCAAAGCCTCCACGCCCCCCTAAGCACTAATTCCACAATCACAGCAGCCTCCCATAATATTGTGCCCTGCCTCCCACCCTGCACCTTTCCCTTCCATCTCCCAAAATACAGTAATGGAAAGGAAGCTAAAGGTATAGTACACCAATGCAGATGGAATAACAAATAAGAGTGAAGAGTGGCAAGAATGCATCATTGATGCATCACCTGACATCATAGCACTAACAGAGACAAAACTTACAGGGATGATAACAGATGCAATTTTTCCACCTGGATATCAGATTTTGAGGAAAGACAGAGAGAACAGTATGGCTCACTACCAACCGTCTGTGTGAATCACTGTTATTCACTGACATTACAGCTGACCATAGCAGTTTTTGAACACCGCTCACCCCTAGGACCCAATTTGTGTGTCCCTCCAGCCTGCAAGCCAGTTGCAGCCGCTTTTCAAGCTTCCTAGCTTAGTTTGTGCTAATTGCTTCAATCTCCAAGGGGTTGACCCGGATTTTGCAATTAAGCCAGCCAGTAAGCCTGACTGTGGAAGTGAATGCCAGTCAGCCTGCCTCAGCCTGTCTCCTGTCATCCACCTGCTCCTTCATGCTGTGTGCATCGTTACACGTCTTCCAGTCAGCTATTCTCGTGGGTTAAGCCAGCATGATAACTCAACTTCCTAACCCAGCTGAGAGAGAGAAGTAAGCCACGCAAGTTCCTCTGAAGTATTGTCTCCTAAATCGCTTTGTGCTCCCAGTCAGATGCTAATGTGGTCTTCACCATCCCTGTGGCATATTGTGGCTTAGTTAAGCCACCTGGATCTCGTGCGTGGCAGTGAGAATGCACAGGGCCAGCTTGTTCCGCTGCCCCCACTATTACCCGCCACTCACCCTTGCCCACCTGTTGTGTTATTCACCTTTCTACCGCTCACATACTGGGTCAAGAGCTGTACTTCACCTGTATTTCACCTGAGTGCCACCGTTAAAAGCCTAAGTGTGTGTCTTTGGAAAGTGCATTTCTTCACGACAACAGTGTGAGTGTAGGAGGAATCATCACCTGCCCAGAGGACCACATCTTCCTCTCATCACCCGTCACCGCCGTCTACCACTCCAGACTTCAGTGATAATTTTCCGTTTAGAGATGTTTGCCTTGCATTTAAATACATTTGAGTGTGTTAGACATTTACAGTGAATTTCTTGTGTACTCTAAGCCTTGTGTTTTCAGTGTAGACTCAGTGTTTCTTTGACTCATTATTTTTGCAATTTTTTCAGTGTTATCGCTCATCTTTCATGTTTCATTTTTATCTGTTTTTTTTATGCTACTCCCTGTCTTTAGTAAGTATTATTTTGTAGTGTTCAAGTGTATTTTTTATTTGTGTGCAGTATTTTATTCCTTACCCCAGTCATTCACTGTGTGTGAAGTAATTCATTTATTTTTTCTTGTGTTCTTTCAATATTGTATTCTCAAGTATTTGTCATTATTGTAGTTCATACAGTGCTATTCACCCCAGTATACTAAATTATCCATTTATTTCCATGTATACCTTTTTTTTGTATGTCCAGCAGTGTCTCATTCCCTTGATTTTTTCGCAGACTTGTGTACCATTAATTTTGCCAGCAATTTTTGTCGAATCAGTCGCACCAAGATTTTGTTGTAAGAACATAACTGATAAATAATTAATCCTTGTCGTGTGTGCCCCGCCACTTGGGTTACACTTCCAGTTTTGTTTCTTATTCTTTTTATTCATATTTTTCACATTTCTTTGAACAAATTCTCACTTAGCGCAATTTTACTGATTTTTAACATAAAGTGTTTTCTTTACTCCGAGTAAATTGTTTTGTTTAATTTACAATTAAGAGTTATAGTGTTCAATCTTTCTTCATATTTTTATTTTTATTGTTTAACCTACATTTTCCCAGTGTAACTTTTATTGCTACATTGATTATTTCTGTGCCTTATTTTATTGCACTTGTTCTGCAGTGAATTATTTCCTTTTATTGATATTTTTATGCATTATTATTCTCAGTTCATTATTGTTTGAGTGTCCTGTTTTTCATTTTATTATTTTTCCTAATGTTGTTTATACAATCTTAGAAAATATTTAAATTTCCCAGTTATCTCTTTGCATACAATTTAATAATTTTATTTATACTTTTTACATTAATTTACAATTTTTTTAGTTTCTTTATCTTGGCCAGCAGTCCCTTATATTGAGTTGTCCTTCCTCTTGCAGTGTATCTTAGACATTTTTGTTACTTCTGCAGAATTAGTTACATCTCTTTTATTTCAATTTTAGCCTTTCCTGTCATTTTTATTATTCATTATTTTTGCTTTATTTGTTTTTTGTGTAACTTCTTTGCCATTATGCCTCACATACCTTCAAGTGATACTTTAGTGAATGTCGACACTCAGACCTCTCAGACTACTGCTGCTCCTGTCATCAGTCCTCATAGTTCCTTATCGGCTGACAGACCGACCCAGACACTGAGACACCATAGTTTTACTTGCAATTCCCTTGATGTGTTACCTTTATTCAATGGCCATGTACATAGTCTTGAAGCATGGTTTACTGCCATTCGTTCTCGTATTAATGCTTTAGTTGATGGTCCTCCTTCAGAGGAAAGTCTTATCAGACTTGCGAAAGAAGCTCTTCATCGGTCCCCTGCTGCTGTTCATGTTGTTGATCTCCTTGAAATGCGAGACTTCAGGAATCTTACTAAGTGATCACAATATGAGGAACTGATTCATTCTTTCCTTGTACCAGTAAAAACAGCTGATCCATATGTCGTTCTTCGGGAACTTGTGAATGCTACACCCATGACTAATGAATCATTGAGTGCATTTGCTGTTAGATTAGATAAACTTTTATCATCATTTATCAATGCTGTCCAGTCCTCAGCTTTTGTCCCTGATGAGGATAAACCATCCACAGAGTCGTTTGCTAAAATAGCAGCTTTTGGAGCAATCAAAGAACTAATGCCGCCTGCTTCCGTGTGTGATTATGAGGGTAATTCTCCAACTGTGACGACGGAACCACTTACAGCCCTAAATCATGTACGTTCTTTGAGCCCCCAGGGTACTTTCCTGTGTATCAAAAGTAATTTCATGCCTATGCCTCAGTCTGCACCACCTCTTACTTGTGCCACAGCGACAAATCGTGGTCATCAACCATCGCAGTGATCACCAAGGACCAGTGTCCAGAGTCATTATAAACCTCGTAGTATTCATAGTACATTCAGTAACCATAGTCAGCAGACTTGTTACAACTGTGATTTCCATGGTCATATTGCAATTAATTGTCCTGATAGTCACCCTAAGAGGCGTAGTGATGATGATGAGTACCAGTCAGATCTTCCCTACTGTACTTATCATAGAATACATGGACATGACACATCTGAGTGCAGTGCTCTCTACAACGTTCAGTACTCTAGATCTTTCCATGGCTGTTCCAACAGCAGAACCAGGAGAGGAAACAGACGTCGTGGTTCTCAGACTAACCAGAACTAGGCTCCTTCCAATTCAGGGGAATTCGAGTGCCCCAGTCAAACTGTCCCATGGTGACAGTAGGTGACAATGAGTACACCATCCCCATTCATAATTCCTTTGAAGCCTTAAGCAGTCTCGAGAATGACAATCCCACTGATGATGTTGCTTCACACATCTTTGATGTAGATGATTTTGGGGATGAAGTGGAACAAATCTTTTCTGATAACAACCCTCCTTTTTGTTTGCACATAACTTCCAATGCAACAATAGGCCCTATAGTGCAAGCATCTGCTCATAATGTCCGTGTTCATTTGTTCATGGATTCTGGTACACAAGTCAGTATTATCAGGTCTAGTTTGTTTAAGGATTAGCAGTTACGACATGTCCTTCTCGTAGAACCGACTCATGTGTCCTCCCTTAGTGGAGTAGCTGGTTCTCACCTGCGTGTCCTAGGTCGGACTTCCCTCACCTGCGTGTCCTAGGTCGGACTTCCCTCACCTTTTCTATCCAAGGTAGAGACTTTACTGCTTCCTTCCTTGTTGTCGACCAGATTACTTTCCCTGGTGATCTTCTCCTGGGATTTGCTTCCACAAGAGACTTATGCATTGTGCTCGACCCTTATCGATGGCATGCACAAATTGATGACTTGATTGTACCATTTTGGGGATACCAGCTTGGATCCGAGATCTGCCATACTGCCACAGAGTACGACGTTTGGATTAAGTCCTTACAAGCCAGTGCATTTTCCAGTAGCATACCCAAGCAGTCAGGCACTCGTGATCCTGTCACTCCTGTCTGTGTTCCACCTGCAACTTCAGGCTTGCAAGATAGTGTCCAGTTACCTCAAGTGTCCGAGGATGCACTGACTACCTTGAGTGCTGAGCCTATCCCTGCAATGTCTGCTAGTTCAAGCAGTAGTTTCTCCACAGGGGACGCCTTGTCGGAAAACGATTACTTGCAACTAGTAATGCCATCTCTTGTTGATGTCATATGCTGTCTGCAGAAAGATGTTTCTGTCGTGGCTAGTGCCCTCAGTAGAGTGTCTGTTGTTGTTCCTAGTGTTCCAGATGGTGATAACGTCCTAGTTGACAGTGATTCCTGCAAAGTAATGGGTTTATTTGTTGAGCCATCCTTACATGTTGTAAGAGATAGTAAGATCCATTTCTTCCTAGCAAACACTTTTGGTCACAGTGTTCGTCTCAGAGCAAATACCAATCTTGTTGACCTTGTTCACTATCCTTACCCTATTCAGGTAGAGGATGAGTTGTCACCTGACCAGTGGGTCGGTGCTATTTCTACCGGGGAGACCTCATCCACTTCACTGGATCAATCCGTTCCACCAGTTGAGGAGAAAGACTTAGCTCCCACTGATTTCCCAGACAAGGTCAGTGTTTGTTGACTCCGTTGAATGAACATTGTAAAGCCATTGCCTTACCAGGTGAGAAGATGGGTATAACAAACTTATTGTCCCATCATATCCCACTCCCACTTGACAGGAATGGAAAGAAGGGAAACAGACGACTTCATTGTAGGAACACTTCAGACTGGTGGTCCAAAGGTGATGATAGCAGTGATGTATAACCCACCACTTAACAGCAGGAGAACAAGAGAAGAGTATGATGTGCACAATAGGGCAATGGTGGATACACTAGCTGAAGTGGCCAGGAGGGCTCATATGGGTAGGACAAAACTGCTTATAATGGGGGATTTCAATCATAAAGAGATTGACTGGGAAAACCTAGAGCCACATGGGGGACCAGAAACGTGGAGGGCTAAGATGTTAGAGACTGTATTGGAGAACTTCATGCACCAACATGTTAGGGATACAACCAGAGAGAGAGAAGAGGATGTTGCAGCAAGGCTGGATCTCATATTCACCTTGAATAGTTCAGACATAGGGGATATCACCCACGAAAGACCACTTGGTGCTAGTGATCATGATGTCCTGAGTTTTGAATATCTTGTAGAGTTAACAGTGGAGAATGCAGCAGCATGAGAACAAAGAGAGAAACCGAACTTTAAAAAAGGGGACTACATAAGAATGAGAAGTTTCCTGCATGAAGTGCAGTGAGAAAGAGAACTAGATGGAAAGACAGTAAAGTGAAATGATGGAAATAGTGACCACAAAGTGCAGGGAGGCAGAGGAAAGGTTCATACCAAAGGGCAACAGAAAAAATGGTAAGACCAGAGCGAGCCCATGGTTTAATTGGAGGTGTAAAGAGGCCAAAGCCAATTGTGCTAGAGCATGGAAAAGGTATAGAAGGCAAAGTACTAAAGAAAACAAGGAGTTGAGCAGAAGAACCAGAAACGAATATGCAGGGATAAGAAGAGAGGCCCAGAGGCAATATGAGAATGACATAGCATCAAAAGCCAAATCTGAACCAAAGTTCTTATACAGTCACATTAGGAGAAAAACAACAGTCAAGGACCAGGTAACCAGATTGAGGAAAGGAGGAGGGGAGCTCACAAAGAGTGACCAAGAAGTATGTGATGAACTAAACAAAAGATTTAGAGAAGTATTCACAATAGAGTCAGGAATGCTTCCAACTGTGGAGGTAGGGTGCACCAGCAGGTGCTGGACACAATACACATAACCAAGGTAGAGGTGAAGAAACTGCTAGATGAACTCGATACCTCAAAGGTGGTGGGCCCAGATAACATATCTCCATGGATACTGAGAGAGGGAGCAGAGGAACTGTGTGTGCCCTTAGCAGCAATATTCAGTAAATCTATCGAAACAGGGCAGTTGTCCGAGGCATGGAAGGGGACAGACAGGCAGCATTAACCCATAAACGGTCCAAGCAGATCTACGTTCACATGTGTAGTGCTACAAAAGTAGATCTACGTTTTTTTTACACATTTTCAAATGTAAAAAACAAAAAGATCATCTACTTTTTTTACATTCAAATGTTGAAAAAACGTATATATACGTTTCGACCGTTTACAGGGTTAAACTACAGACCAGTCACTGACTTGTATGTAAAGCCATGGAAAAGATTATCAGGAGAAAAGTGGTGGAACACATTGAAAAGATTGGGCTCATACATGACAGTCAGCACAGCTTCACAGATGGGAAATCCTGTGTCACAAATCTACTTCAGTTCTACAATAAGGTAACAGAAGTAAGACAGGAGAGAGAGGGATGCGTAGATTGCATCTTTTTAGACTGCAAGAAGGCTTTTGACACAGTACCACACAAGAGACTGGTGCAAAAATTAGAGGAGCAGGCAGGAATAACGGGGAAAGTACTGCAATGGATCAGGGAATACCTGACAGGAAGGAAACAAGTGTTGGTACATGCTGAAGTGTGGGCAAATGTGTCGAGTGGAGTTCCACAAGGTTCACTCCTAGGCCCAGTGCTGTTTCTTGTATACGTGAATGACATGGTGGAAGGAATAGATTCAGAAGTGTCACTGTTGACTGATGATGTGAAACTGATGAGGAGAATACAAGTGGGCGAGGATCAGTTAAGATTACAAGGGGATCTGAACAAACTACAAGTATGGTCTGACAAATGGCTCCTGGAGCTTAACCTCAGTAAGTGTAAGGTCATGAAGATTGGAGAAGGACACAGAAGACCGCAGATGGAGTACAAGTTAGGAAACCAACAGCTGCAAATGTCAATTAAAGAAAAGGATCTTGGGGTAAGCATTATAACGAACATGTCCCCTGAGGCACACATCAATTAAATAACTGCTGCAACATATGGGAGATTGGCATACCTGAGATTGGCGTTGAGACATCTGAGTAAGGAGTCATTCACGACATTGTACACAGTGTACGTAAGGCCTATACTGGAATATGCAGCTCCAGTATGGAACCCCACTTAGTCAAACACATCATGAAATTGGAGAAAGTGCAAAAATTTGCAACACGATTAGTCCCGGAACTGAGGGGTATGTCTTATGAGGAGAGGTTAAGGGAACTCAACCTGATGACACTAGAGGATAGGAGGGATAGAGGGGACATGATAACACCGTATAAAATACTAAGAGGCATTGACAAGGTGGACAAGGATCGAAATATTCCAGAGATGGGATACAGAAACAAGGGGACACAACTGGAAGCTGAAAACCCAGATGAGTCATAGGGATGTTAGGAAGTATTTCTTTAGTCTTAGAGTTGTCAGGAACTGGAATAATCTGGAGAGTGAAGTAGCGGGAGCAAGTTCCATAAAAAGCTTTAAGAAGAGGTATGACAAATATCATGGAGCAGGGAGAGAGTGAATTAGTATTGACCAGTGAAGAGGTGGGGCCAGGAGCTATGAATCGACCCCTCCAAGCACATACAGGTGAGTACATATAAATGAGTACATACACACACACACACAACACAAGCTTCCAGAAGATAATAATAGCAGTTTTATATTAGTGTCCAGTGACTATATATGTGTATATATATTATAGAAACCAGAAGGAAGGGTGGAAAGAATGAAAGGTAGGTAGGAATGATGACACATGACCATTTACCTAGGATAACTGCCTAACACAACTGCCTGCTAATACTTTGAAGAAAACTGCTCAGACGAGGTGTTTGTCTGTGCATGTACAAAAAAATGCCCACAAAAACGCAGACACTGTTTATGTGTGAGGACTGTAAAACACCATTGTGCATACACCCATGTTTCAGAGAATTTCACAAGCTGTAGCAGTTCTAGGAATATGTCCAGTGATTGTACATTTGTATATATATTATAGAACAACAGTAATAAATAATTTTTTATATTATTCATTTGTGTAAACAAGTTTTGTAAACAATATAATGATACTAATGCTTGTGCAATTATTGTGTTATATACAACGAGTGTATATATGTACACTGCACCTTACTTTGGTCTCACAGGCCACATAAGTTATGTGAAAACTAAAATAGTGAAAAAAACAAGAAACCTTCAAATGGAAGTAAACCAAAGTTTACCGGGTAAGCGGCATTCACCCCCGAAACTCTCTCCAGGTAAACTCCAGGTACATGGCTCATTTTCTGGCAACTTTACTTCTCTATATCTCGGTAAATACTGATCGCAAAAAAAAAATTTTGGGCTTAAAACAATCAGAAAATTAATCTTAAGGAAAAAAAAAAATTTTAATATTTTTCGACACCAGGAGACACTTCAGGATTTGGTGTTGTGACAGTCAATGGGTTAAACACTTAACATGTTTTGTCTCCTGTATGTACTTGCATATGCTTCACAAGATGGGATTTTTGACTAAAACATTTCAGACACTCAGGGCACTGATATGGTTTATCTCCTGTATGTACTAGCATGTGTCTCACAAGACTGCCTTTTACACTAAAACATTTCAGACACTCGGAGCACTGATATGGTTTATCTCCTGTATGTAGTCGCATGTGTCTCACAAGATGGCCTTTTACACCAAAACATTTTAGACACTCAGAGCACTGATGTGGTTTATCACCTGTATGAAGTCGCATGTGTGTTACAAGATGGCCTTTTACACTAAAACACTTCAGACACTCACAACACTGATATGGTTTATCACCTGTATGAAGTCGCATGTGTGTCACAAGATGGCCTTTTACACTAAAACATTTTAGACACTCTGAGCATTGATATGGTCTGTCTCCTGTATGTATTCGCATATGTGTCACAAGACTGCCTTTTTCACTAAAACATTTTAGACACTCAGAGCACTGATATGATTTATCTCCTGTATGTATTCGCATATGTTTCACAAGACTGCTTTTTACACTAAAACATTTCAGACACTCAGAGCACTGATATGGTTTGTCTCCTGTATGAACCCGTGCATGTGTCACAAGATGGCCTTTTACATTAAAACATTTCAGACACTCACAACACTGATATGGTTTATCTCCTGTATGAAGTCGCATGTGTGTCACAAGATGGCCTTTTATACTAAAACATTTCAGACACTCGGAGCACTGATATGGTTTATCTCCTGTATGCATTCGCGTGTGTGTCACAAGACTGCCTTTTTCACTAAAACATTTCAGACACTGAGAGCAGTGATATGGTTTATCTCCTGTATGTACTCGCATATGTTTCAAAAGATTGCCTTTTACACTAAAACATTTCAGACACTCAGGGCACTGATATGGTTTATCTCCTGTATGTACTCGCATATGTCTTACAAGACTACCTTTTTCACTAAAACATTTCAGACACTCAGGGCACTGATATGGTTTATCTCCTGTATGTATTCGCATGTGCCTCACAAGAGTGCCTTTTTCACTAAAACATTTCAGACACTCTGGGCACTGATATGGTTTATCCCCTGTATGTGCTCGCATATGTCTCACAAGATGGCCTTTTTCACTAAAACACTTTGGACACTCAGAGCACTGATAAGGTTTTTCTCCTGTATGCACACGCATATGTTTCAAAAGATGGCCTTTTTCACTAAAACATTTTGGACACTCTGAGCACTGATATGGTTTGTCTCCTGTATGTACCCGCATATGTCTCACAAGGTGTTCTTTTACACTAAAACTTTTTGGACATTCAGAGCACTGATATGGTTTGTCTCCTGTATGTACCCGCATGTGTGTCAAAAGATGGCCTTTTATACCAAAACATTTTGGACATTCAGAGCACTGATATGGTTTAGCTCCTGTATGTACCCGCATATGTCTCACAAGATTGGCTTTTTGACTAAAACATTTCAGACACTCAGAACAGTGATATGGTTTATCTCCTGTATGTACATGCATATGTTTCACAAGACTGCCTTTCTGACCACAATATTTCAAACACACTGAACATTGATATGGTTTATCTCCTGTATGTACTTGCATATGTCTCACAAGATTGGATTTTTTACTAAAACATTTCTTACACTCTGAACACTGATGTGGTTTATGTGCTTCATGTTTCTCCATATTTTTTACAAGAAGGTATTTCATTTTAAAATATTTTAGGCATTCAATAATGGTATAGTTAATCTTCTTTATATACCCTCCAATATATTTCAATTCTTTTTTAACTATCTTGGGCACAGATCACAGTTTTTCTTATGAGCATGTAAAGATATTTTTCCTCAAAACTTTTCCTACTTATGAGCAATAATAAAGTTTATTTTGTGTGTGTTAAAGGATTATCATAATTTTTTGTTTTGTGTTCAAAGACTAATACGTATATGTTCTAGAACACTGCAGATATTCTCAACAACATTTTTAGTATTATTTTCTCTGGTCTTTAAAAAGATATTTATGAAAAAATTTAATTACGGTATTGTATTTTTTTGACAGAATTTCCAATGTCTAAAGCAAAAATTCCCAAGAATATCAAGTGATGTCTTTCTTGACGTAATAAAGATATAATGTCTGGGATGATACAACCTGGTAGTCTTCCACACAATACTTGAGCAATATCAGTTGTTATTTAAGACACTTATTCTGGTGCTTCTTGAAGTACTCAAGATATAGTGTCTGGCAAGATACAACCTGGTAGTCTTCCACACAATACTTCTGCAATAGAAAGATGAGTCAGTATAGCACAATGTTCCACCATTACCAACACAATATACTGAGCCTGAAAATATATTTTTTTCTCTATTATCACATGTTTCACTAAATAAAATTATCATTTTTAAATGTTTATCTGCAAAAAAATTACAGATAAATCACATGATGTGTGATTTATGTGTAAATTAGCAAGGATAGTAGGGTATGGAAAATTTTGATAATTTTTCTGTAATTAACCCTTTCAGGGTCCAAGGCCCAAATCTGGAGTCACGCACCAGTGTCCAAGAATTTTCAAAAAAAAAATTTGTTATTTTTTCTTATGAAATCGTAGAGAATCTTTTTGTGAAGGTAATAAAACAAAAAGTACGAAATTTGGTGGAAAATTGACGAAATTATGCTCTCGCGAATTTTGATGTGTCAGCGATATTTACGAATCGGCGATTTTGCCGACTTTGACTCCCATTTTAGGCCAATTACATTATTCCAATCAACCAAATTCTTAGCTATTTCACTAGTATTACTTCTATTCTATCGATTGAGCACAAGAAATCGCCAAGTCAACTGTTTCAATTACAAAATAAAGTGATCGGAAATTGTTAATTTGGCCAATTTAACACAAAGTTCAAAATATTCCAATTTCAAAATAGGGTCCAGAATGAACAATGTAGGCATTCCTGGCACTAAACTAACATTTCCTCTGTTCATTAGTTATGTTTTGAGGCTTTACAAATAAATTCCATTTTGATTTTTTATTCACACCAAAAAAATAGAAGATTTACTGTTATTCAATACTGTAATAATTGTATAAATATCATCACCATATTTGTGAATGTATATTAGACCCACCAGCTGACGTGTATTAGACGTGTGAGGTCGTTTGTTTACTCTTGAATATCGGCAAAAATTTAACATTTCCGCTACTTTGAGCTCAGTTTCAAGCCATTTCCAATGCTAAAACCAATCAAAATCATCTCTATTTCTGTAATATGTCTTCCATTCTATCAAATGAGACCAAGAAATCGCAAATACAACTATAAAAAACATACGAAAAAACACTGCAAAGTTGCTGTTTTAATCGAAAAATCATGATTTCATTTTTTTCTCTCATTATACACAGTGTGCTGCAGGATCTGTTTTATGTGGTGCACACATACCACATAGATGTATTCTCTCATATCTAGGCCCAAATGTACCACTCACAGTTTATCAGAGTGAGCTGAGCTCATGGCGTAGATCTACGGTTTGGACCCTGAACGTAAAGCCGTAGATCTACGGGACGGACCCTGAAAGGGTTAATGTTAAAATTGAAGGATGTAAGTGTTTATATAATGTAGTGTAGGTGTGTAGTGTTGATGTGACTTTTGAAAGATGATAACCAACAGGAGAACCAATATTCTCTATAAATTCCTTATATTCAGTAAGGAGTCGATTAAATGAAGTGAAAATTTTTATAATCTTGGAAGAAATTAATATTCATATAATGAAAATATATTACACAACTGGAAGTATTACTGAATTAATTGAGATGTTTTGGGATAAAAAAAGTTTTCGAGAGGAAGCTGGAATATGGCATAAGGGAGGGATGGACCAGAATTTGTGGGCATTTAATTCAGTGTAATCAGAGCTGATAGAGAAGATATCAGCCGTGTGTTTTAACAGTGGGATAAACGAAGAGAGTGTATTTGGAAAGGTCTAGATCTGTTAAACAACTGTCAGGTTAATGATGATAAAGATAATACTGGACACAATGATTGGATGACATGCTGAACACCTCGTGAATTGAAATAAGTTACACTCACCTCCTCATATGTGGTATAAATCCAGAGAACAGGTAAGGTATCTGTTGGCCAATATTAGGTTACTGTCCTGTTAGGGACGTGTTAGGAAATTGTTATGGGGCTATAGGACCCAATATGCATTTATGTAACAAGTAATTACTCACTTTGGAATACCTAATTATATTAAACTGCTTTAATTAATTCTGTCATAAGGGTAGATCACTCTTATGGAGAAAAAGGCAGTTGGATCAAGCCCTGCTTTTAAATATAAATAGGTTGTACTATACACACATTAAAATAAGTAGATTTTAAAATTTGTATTTCTTTTTTTTAAAGTAAAATAGGGTGTAGTACTGGGAAAAATAAAATGATTGTAGTAGCTAAAGAATTGGGCATGTCAACATACTTTTGTTTGTTATTGTGTAGATGGGGAGAAGTTAGCTCTCTCTCTTACTCTTGTGGTGGTGGTGCCAACATGGCAAGACCTTCTCCTCAGCTCTTACTTCTGGGCAAGATCTGAGTGCCCCAGAGGTAAGATTTGTACTTGAATATGATGTAACCATTATATCCAGTGACTACAGTGTGTGAAAACACTGGGCTAAGGTCATCAGGAGGGAAGGAGTACTAATTTATTTATTTATTTATTTATTTAATGTCTTTGCAAACAATACACTGAGATTGTGTATATACAATAGTGGGTTGCAATGCAAAGAGAGCCTCTATTATGCCTTCGCATTATGGGCCAACTTAACATTATTGGCTTACATTCTACTTAATAGTAAGGAGTAGTATATCATAGTTGTACAGTAGGAAAGTAATTATTTCATAGTTGTACAGTAGAATATTAATTATAAATGAATCAAAATTTGTATAATACAAAGATATACATATTTATATTCTAAAATGCTTTTGTGAAAAACAACAATGGATAAAAGGTTCAATGTGATTGGTTCAGTTACGATGTGGGAGTAAATAGTGAGTAAATGTATACTGAGTATTTAGCATTTAGTCTAGGGTGATTAAGTGGCTCTTGAGAAGAGTCTTAAATTGATTTTCAGACTGGGTTACTTTAATATCTTCTGGTAATGAATTCCATATTTTGGGGCCCTTTATGTGCATAGAGTTTTTACACAGTGTGATATGGACATGAGGTATATCAAAAAGAGATCTGTGTCTTTTGTTGTGGCCATGTGTCCTGTTTAGGTTGGTGAGGAAAAGTTTGAGTGGGGGGTTTATATTTGCATGTATTGTTCTGTGTATGTAGTAGGCACATGAATAAGCATGGATGTTCTTAATGGCAAGCAGATTCAGGCTTTTGAAAATTGGTGGAGTATGCTGGGAGGAGTGGGAATTTGTTATTCTTACTGCTGCCTTTTGCTGGGTTATTAGGGGTTTTAGGTGACTGGATGTTGTTGATCCCCATGCACAAATTCCATATGTAAGATAAGGGTATATGAGTGACTGGTACAGTGCAAGGAGAACTGATTGTGGAACGTAGTACCTTATCTTTGATAGTATGCCTACAGTCTTGGAGATTTTCTTGGTGATTTGTTTTGTGTGTGTCCGGAACTTAAGGGTACTGTCAAGGTGGATACCTAGGAATTTTCCCTCTGTGAGTCTTGTCACTGATGATCCATTTAGCGTAATGTTAATTGGATCATTTGCAGCTTTGTTTCCAAACTGAATGAAATAGATTCTATCAGTGTTCAGGGTAAGTTTGTTAGTCATCATCCAGGCAAATATTTTCTGTAATTCAGCATTAACTGTGTTTGCTAGTATGACTGCATTTGGGTGAGAAAATAAATATGTAGTGTCATCTGCAAATAATATGGGTTTGAGTAGCTGTGATGCATTCGGTAGATCATTGATGTAGATGAGAAAGAGGAGTGGTCCAAGGGCACTTCCTTGTGGGACTCCTACTGTGATTGGTTGGGTGGAGGAGTTTGCATCATTTGCATACACATATTGAGTTCTGTTACTAAGGTATGAGTTTAGGTAGTTGAGGGAGTGGCCTCTGATACCATAGTGCATTAATTTGGAGTACAGTAGTTCATGGTCGACTGTATCGAAAGCTTTACGTAAATCAATGAAAATGCCCAGCGGGACTAATTTCTTTTCAAGTGCGGTATATATTAGTTCTAGCATGTGTTTGATAGCATCATTTGTGTTTTTATTATTTCTGAATCTAAACTGACAAGGGTTTAATATGTTGTGTGAAACGAGGTAGGAATAGATCCGTCTATGAATTAATTTTTCAAAGATTTTAGAGAGCAGTGGTAAGTTAGATATTGGTCTATAGTTATTCAAGTCAGCTTGGTCACCTCCTTTATGGATGGACCATGTGGCTGTAATGGCTGGGCAGCTAAGGGTGTGCATCCTTTTGTTATGAATAGGAAAATGCTTAACTTGTATACTCTGTACATACCTGTCAAGAATATATTCCTATTTTTTGTAATAGTGGCTGAAATAACCTGTTGAGAGGGTTGATAAAAACATTTCAGAGACTAAGGATGACTAATCCTGAATGTAAGTATTGCCCTAGCCTTCATAAGGCTTTATTTAAGCTACATGTAGTGAGAACTGCACCATCAAAGTAAAAAGAGAAAACAACATAACATGAGTGGTGGTCCGGTGGCCTGGTGGCTAAAGCTCTTGCTTCACACACAGAGGGCCTGGGTTCGATTCCCGGCTGGTGGAAACATTTTGATGCATTTCCTGACGCCTGTTGTCCTGTTCACCTAGCAGCAAATAGGTACCTCGGTGTTAGTTGACTGGTGTGGGTCGCATCCTAGGGGACAAGACTGAGGACCCCAATGAAAATAAGTTACAGTCCTCTATGATGCACTGACTTTCTTGGGTTATCCTTGGTTGCTAACTCTCCAGGGTTAAAAATTTGAATGAAATCTTATCTTATGAGAGCTTGACCGGGAGAGTTATTTGACTGCTAAGATAACCCAAAACATTCTTTGAACTATATGTACTGGTATGGGGTAATAGTTATATTTTTCTGGTAGGAGAGGATTTACCAAGGCGGTCAGTGGAAGTGTTGTTTTCATATATTAATTTATGGGTTGTTTTCCTCTAAAAGGGAGGGGGAAAAGGTTAGGTAACACACTGAGTTTGTGGTTACGGTAAGTGCTGTGTGCATATTTTACATTCAACCTGTGTTATTATATTTGCCTGTGGGAAAATCTTGTCCATTGAAATTGTAAGAAGGAAGCAAGT